TAATAATAATTATTAGTATTATTCTCGGGAGTACCGAGCTTTTGTGCGTTAATAATATTGCCGTTATTCCGCGTATTCTAAACAAAGATCGAGCTTTTAATCGGGTAAATTATTATAATCCTTATATCACGTGTTATTGTGTAGCTATTATACATTTTTACAAGATAATATGTTTTTTTTCCTAAGCTTGTCGAGTGGCTTAGGATTATTCTACTTATACATTTCATTTTTAAGCAATGGATGTTTATCACGCAATACACGATCATTAAAACACTCTATTGTATTATCGTTCAAAAAATAAAATTGTGACAGTAAACTAAATTTGATCTATTTGGTAAGTTAAATGTATATTTGTGTTTGCAAGTTATATTATTATCTATCGACACATACCTACAATTTATTATAGTTTTCTTATATAAATATAARAACGCCTTAGCTACTTTACACGGGTATAACTATCCATTTATTTTTAAATTTAATCAGTACTACGTACTTTCGTAATATTATACAGACATCTGTGTAAAAATCTATACTATATTTAAAATATAAGTTTGTTTCGTTTTGAACTTTTTTACCAACGCAAATAAATAAAATGCACATATTTTATGAAAATTACAGCTGAACCATCATAAGTTAATGCAAAGTTGTTATACGACTCGTATTTTCGTATGCGTTCAAATCAAATATTTTTCATAAACCACTCTTCAAAAACATTGAACTTTCGTACCTATGTATTCGTATTAGTGTACTCGTATTACATATAAATTATTGAATATTGATGTGAAAATATAGGAAAAATGACACGTGAATGCCATATAAACAAGTGCTCTAAAAGTGTATTGGGTAGGGGAAAAAATTAAAACCATTTGTCGATATATATACGAGACGATGGATAAAAGTGACAACCGAAAAAGAATCACGTTTTCAAGTAACTTCTATACTACTCTACTTCTTGGAACTATTGGGAAATGGAAAAAATGTAAATTTTTTTTTCCGTCAACTGCAGCTTTTGTTTCTTTAATAATGATTGATGTGTGAGATATCAATTCTCAGTTTAGTCTAAATACAATAAATGCTTATCCAAGACCCGAGGATGTGCGATGTCTTATGTACAAACGAGTATGCATATATAATTATGAGGAGATACCTTTAYCGTGTTAAAATAGAAAAATATTTAATAGCTTATATTTAACGAAGTTTAAGAAGAGGTAACACACTGTCATTCAATTTGTCACGGGAAACATATTGTGGGATAAGCTATTATYTAAATAATAATACGAAAACGATTATTTGCTCAAATTGCTCTCCAACTTATTAAAATGGACACGATTTATTTGAATCTATATATTTAAATGATTTTCATTAGTATTTGCAATTAATCAGAACTTCATTATTATACATTGAATACATAGTTGTATTAATTACCTGGTAAATATTCCTCGGGCACACCATGCCAACAGACCACCAATGCTTGATAAGTACACTAACATCAATGGGATGCCAATCAACGCGTAAACCATTGTAACCATTTTACCTATAGCGGTCTTCGGTGTGATGTTTCCGTATCCTGTGAACAATAACATACAATATTATAACAATATATCAATATATAAACAGTGTACAATAATTATTGTTAATGCACCATCAGAATAAAACATTACCATGTTACTATATATTCTAGTGTATACAATTCCGCGGGAACTGGAACTGGACGTATTCAAATCAAAATTGAATGAAACGATGGGAATGAATATAAAAACGTACACACACGCGCGCGTACATATAATAATGTAAATAATAATATATACAATATGTTTTTGAATTTATCGTGGTGTTGATACTTATAATATTCATAATTGATATAAATGATACAATGAGTGAAATACGACTAGTACTGAAAATAACTATGTTATAGTTTTCGATTGAAATGTTTGTACCTATTCCACGTTTAAATCATTCTGGTTGGCACTAACTATGTACACTTTATAGTATTGTTTCTTCTCTCATATTAGAATAATAATAATGGCTTCCGTCCGGCTTTACGTTGCACTTGACGATAAAAGTTTTGTAATTTCGTACCATTTGGTTATACAGATCCTAAAATATAGTGTGGAACTTTTGCGTTTTGCGCTCCTCGAGTTTTGGTTTGAAATAAGATACATTTAGGTTCAAATATTAATCCATATTTATATTTTATGTATATAAAAACATTTTATCCAAATTATATTTTTGTGGTCAAAAACTACTCAAATATGCACCCATTGGGAGGGGGGAAAGATAGGGAACTTCCTCCCCCCTGGACAAAAAAATAATATAAATGGGTAGTGTATGATGAGCCTTCATCGTGAAAGAGTGGACATAAACTGCAAGGATATTTTCATTCAGGATGTCATTAATATGTATGGAATAAAACGAAGAAATTTGCAGTTCTTATTTACTGATACGGAATAATATATTAGATTAGATTGTTTGATTTTCTATTTTTATCTATACTTTCTATACTTTCAATGTTTTTTAATCAACTTTACCTATATATATGACAATACAAATATAACATGCATATTTACATTAATTATGTGAAAATAACATTAAATCTTTACTATCTTACATTTGAGATTTTTTTTATTTTGACCCTCCTCAAAATTTTATCTATGGGTGCCCATTATAATATGTCTACTATTGTGTCTAGTCTGTCTAGTATTATAAATATAAAATATTTCATATGAACGCATACTTTTTTAAAACCATTACAATGATCTGTCTTGCTCATTGTAGTTCGCAAGTAAATGTATTACTATTATTTTTTTAAAGATATTATCATAATTTGTCTGCATGGGTACACAAAAACTAAAACACGAGAATATTTTGTTTATTGTGAATAACATTATTGTTATTTAATTTAGGGGAAACATTTGTTTAGTAGCAAATAACAGTATATCATCTATAAGAATACACATGGTATTGTGATATATTATGATAATGAAAAGTTTTACTTAAGCAAAAATTATTGAATAGTTTGTTAAAAAATGTATTAAAATTATTTTACTCGTACCAGTAAAAAGTTAGTTTTGGTAAAATGATAATTGTTTTTATAGGAATTATAACGTGATCTGACCAGACAACATGGTAAACAATATAGTATTTACCACATAGCTTAGTTATTTTCTTAGTAGTAGTCAGCCAATTGTTGAAATCAATAATGAAATACATCTTATTATTATTACCATTAAGTATACATTAAATATAATTTATATGATGCTATGGAATATGACGAACAGACGAAGAACGTAGACTGGACTTAATGGGCGTAGTCGTGTACATACAAAGGAAATATTTGAACGATTTTCAAAATATAAATTTAGATTGTTATAGACTATCTATTATTTTACCTCATAACTCATAAGATTTTCTACAAAGGTTATTGGTTGTATATTAAATTTTTAGCTAGTTAATATATAGTTATATTTATCATTTTTTATTCATTACTGGACTATAATATTTAACTTGCTTCATTTTTATTTCATTGGTATTTTATTTCAAATTGAATATCTTTACGTGTTAATCGTAAATGTATGATGTAAAATTTAGAAATATGTGAAAAATGACATTTAGTTGATTATATTTACCAGAAGTGTCATAATTTCGTAAATTTTATTATTGCACTCATAATGATTTATTGTTGTTTAAAAATAAATTTTTTTGACCTTAACTGTTAAAATTGCTTCATTTCGGTGTTACCTCATTTGTGTAGGTAGGACGTAAGTACTTGGTGATACACATTTATGTTATTAATTTCAATGTTAAAACTAACTCATATTTTTAACGATTTATTTTATGTTTGTTTTGTCACTAATGTGTTTATATTGCACGCATATAAATATATATATGTATAAATGTTTGAATTAAATTAGTTCCAAATGACGGTGTTGGATAAGTACAATTTGGTTTGATTATAGAGTGTACTTATGATAACTTAAATGGAACATTTATATATTATAATATATATATTATATCTATATATAATATATATTATATATACATATATAATACACGGAGTTGAGTATTCAAATATCTTAGGCTGCACTACTAATAGAAAATAATTAAACTAATACCATTTATCGTTTAGTAAAAATGGATCTACTTTTAAAATAATTAAATCTCAGTCTTACTGTCTTTGTAATATTCTGTATAAATTTAGAATTCAGTGAAATTTATTTTTAACACACACAAAAAAGGAAAAGTTCTTTTAACACCATTCAATGTTTTTAAGAACCTTTTCATTTTTTAGTCGACTGCATTTATTTTATATAAAGATAAGTTTTAATTAAATAATTTATCCAGTTTACGTTAGTACGTTATGTTTATTATTATTATGCATAAAGTATATCGTAACATTTTAATATAATATAGTACTTTTAATTTTCACATAATATCTTAACAATATGAGGCTAATAATATTATAATTAGGGAATTATTTTTTTCCTCTTTAAATTAATCAATTTAAATAGTGAACAATAAATAAATAAAATTTCAATTTCATTATAAATTATATAATATAGTGAGTGGATTAATGCATATATATATATATACATATATGTGATTGAAGTAACTCATACGGCAATATTTCTAACACATATTGAAAAAGGATTTTCTATGTAAATCGCGATGAAATATGTACATCGCACTAAGGATTAGTTCTCAATGAAAAAGCATATTTTATCTTCTTTCTCATTTCAATTAACTCGTAAAAAAGAGTCGTTTCTGTTTTTGATTTTCTACCGCGAAATAATCTGACTATGCAAATTCGTTAGAAATATTATGTAAATTGTTTGAAAATCGCTTCAAGTGCTCGCAGTGAAACAAATGTTTCTGGCGTATGAGTCTCATAAAGATACTATTTCAGGCAATCGGTCGAACAGTTTTCAATCTCTTTTGTTAGCTGGGAAAGATTGCAAACCGCAAAATAAAAATAAGGTATCACTACCGATACGTATCGACTTATATGCATATGTGACACATACACATACACATATTATATATATATTATATATATATATATATATATATATTTATTTATTTGTGTGTGTGTGTGTCGCATCAGATTCAATATTGTTTTTGTATTATGAAAATTTTTATCGACACCCTGTCACCACCGTCAGTCGTTATACGCACACATCGAATTGATTCATGAATTATTATTCTCGTCGATGGTTTCATTATTTCTGCCCAATGCTTTTTTGTTTACTGGGAAATTCAATTTTCACAGCGACATATACGTGTAGTACATAGATATAAAATATAATAATATTCTAAAATTTGATCATTTTATACAAATTGAATGCTATTTTATTAATCGTGAATTGTAAGTTATGCACAACAATAGATGATTCAACACAAATATTTGAAGTAGCCTTCAAGTAGTACTTCAAGTAGGTTATGAATAATAATAATATGTTCTAATAAATATATATTTTTAAATAAAATAAAATTGTTTACATTTTTATCCACTATTTGTTAATTAGAATATTATACAACTTTTTGTGATGCACTGACATATTTTGCATGACATAATGGTTAATGTGAAAAATAAATTAATCATTATCATTGAATTGATAAATTTAGAATATAGGGTGTCTTGCGAGTGATTTATTTATTTTTATTTTATTTATTTAATTTACCCTTTGCAATATCTCCTGAGATAATAAATATATCATAAATCTGGTTTTTTTTTATTAGACCCACGTAGACAAGGGCGTATTTTATTAAATTTTTTGGTAAACTTGTTATCTGCATATAGCTAAATTTACAGATACACTATGTAAAATCACAAAAAAAGAAATCAGAAGAAACATGTTGCAAAATAAAATATTATTATAATTTATGGTGGGCCATACTAATGTTTAATAGATAATATGTCAATAACAGTGGCGAATTTGGGAATTAGGAATTTCCCTTTATTATTTTGCAAGTAAGATATTATTTCAATTGTATAAAAATATTCTTTGAACATATTTTATTTTATTTCAGATTTCTTGGCAGATTAACAATCTGTTAGATAACGTCAAAACGGGGAGATCTTATGTTTTATGTTAGGAGTTAGATACATACGTGTTTATTAAATATTAAGCCTGCAGTAGTAACTAAAAAGTTTCAACGAACGAAAACTCTTTTATAGCTCAGTCATTAGCTTGGTTACATCGCTTTGGTAAACCAAAAATGGTTTGGATACCTAATAATAATAGTTATATTATGGTATCATAATAATTATGGGTCTGAAAGGAAAATGCATTTAAAGATTTTCCTTTGTAATATGATGTTGATATAAAATTAGTTAACAATTTAAGTTATGCATCAAAGTAAACAATGTGCTTTTGGACTAATTAAAAATTAAAAATAAACTACCTATGCATATTTTCAAAAAAATGAAAAATGTAGTTAAAGCGTTGCTTAATAATGTAAAATATGATAAAAAAACAAAAATAGAATAAAGTGACAGCTGATGTTATTATTATATTTCATAATTTTTGAAAACATTAAAATGTTATAAAATAAAACATAATATAACGA